GGCCGCGGGTTGCCGACCCCTGCCTTAGAGGGAAGAGTCACTGCAGATCACTCCCAAGTTGTTTGATGGATTATCTTTATCCTTTGAGTAAACATTGAGTAAACAGCGCTTCCATCCATAAGTTTGGTTCGATGAAAATGATGTGAATCAGATGTCACCAGATCTCAGTCCAACTGAACGGAATTAATTTAGACTGACATGTAGACAGCACCATCATCAAGACCCCAAATGAGGAGATATGTTTTGGTAGAACTGTGTTCATCCCTTCTGTAGAGTTCAGAGTCTCTCAATGCAAAGGATTGCTGAATTTTGCTAAAGCGGAACAAGTAACTCAAATCATTTTTGACAGAAGAAATAACACATTCTTCCTCCTAAAATGGAAAGTTGAATTCATTAGGAGTATAATGACACCTCCTTATTCACCACACTCTGAGGGTGTGATGAAACAGCCCTATTTTGGTCTTATATAACCATGCAGCTTATCTGGGCTAATGTTAAATAATATTCTATAATTGTAGCCCCTGTGACCCCTCAGACCGGAGAAAAGATGAAATGGGTCTCCTGCCGTAGGAAGGTCATGATAGTCCACACTCACCCAGCTGTTTCATGAGAGCCAGCGGTAATATAACTGCGACGGATACAATGATCACAAGGTAGTTTCCATTCATGAACCATTCACTGCAGGGAGACAGAAAGACACAGATAATTAAAGGTATTGATTTGAAATTACTCGGCTTAAACACTCCTTTCAATCTCACTTCTGCTAAGCATTTGCACCGTGTCACATATTGATCGAGTAGATGAAGGAGAGAAGTGAGCTGGAAACTGAGGCGCACAAGAATAAAGCTTATGTGGTAGAAAAGGGCTGATTTTATATCGCCACAACTATGCCAAGTAGTCATATTTATACATGAAAAGAAAGGAACACAATTCAAGCTCAAGTGGCACAAGATCAAATATTTAGAGTGGAAAATGTAAGCTTCTTTGCTGCCCATGGCACTAACAACTGTGGCTGTAGCTAAGACGCAAAAGTCCTGTCCTCAGTATTGTTTATAGGAATGTTTTGAGGGGGAGGTAACATCACACACAAGAAGAAGTAACATAAAAATCATAGTTTTGTTGATGCTAAATAAATTTATGACTTAAAAAACAGATATTGCTCATCATTATTCTGCCATCTAACCTCAGTGGCTGGATAAAAATGATGTTTAAATGATGTTTAAAGAGGCCTTTGCTCTTTGGGAATAGTCCATTCTCACAAGTGTCACTAGAGTGGGAAAACAACAACACACATGTCCAAAGTCTGACAACGCAAATTAACCACCACGTCTGACTGATTGCCTGTTGCTCCACTACAATTTTATTAGTTACTTGCCATGTGCTGTTGTCATTATTGGCTCGTAGTTGGCAGAGGTTGGTCTTTCTTCTAACCCTCTGAACCCTGAGGAATTTCTGGGCGCTTTTCACTCCTGTCGCTTTTTTTTTTTTTAAAGTCACTGTGGACCCATTTTTCACAGCAATATATAGTCCTGCACCTCTATGGAAACAGCACAACCATGGCTAGAAATGTCTTCTGTGCAGTATAACAAAGCTACAATCATAAATAATGAAAAAGAATAAACAATAGCACCTCTGCATACTATATATGTTTTAATGCTTCATTTTTATTTTGTCTCCATACCTGTTTCCTTTGTGCTCTGTGTAAACGTAGCCTGCAGTTCAGCTCAGTTCAGCCAAAAAGCCCCTGATTTTTTGTTTTATGAGTGTTGGTCGCAGATTAGTCACGAACAACTTAACAGTTGCAACACAGATTACAATTTTTTTTACATTTTAGAGAATCTAGCGAGAGCAAACAGTTTATTTTTGGCAATTTTTTAAATGAGACAAATAATCAGTTCATTTTCCTGACAACACGATGTCATCTCTGCTCTGATAAATGCATGTCATTCTGGTCAGCTTGTTTTAAAGACAACATGTCTCTTGAACCTGCCAGTGGATTTTGGGATTCAGAGGGTTAAAAGAAAAAGCAACTGCAGTCACCATCAACACAGATGATGCTCTACAGCACAAATCTGAAAGTCTGCGTTTTGACAGGAACATGAGGAGAAATGCCTCCACTAGCCATGGGACATTTTCATGAACTGCATTTAACATGGAGAGTTTCTCCAGTGAAAAAAATGCCTCACTGTTAGTGTACCTTATCAACAAAGGCAGTTTTTGCTTCCCGTGTACCCGCATACAAACAGGGAACAAAGCAGCACAATAGCAAGTTTAGGAGAACTGGTACTGCTGCTTGTACTGAACTGGAGAATGTAAATCTTGTAAAACTGACTGACCAAATAATTGAATTTTACTACTACAAATGAAACAGTTGACAAATCACATAGATGCAAAAAAATGAGTCAGTCCAACATTGCCATGAATCCGTCCTCCCTGTTGATTTGCAACACTGCCCACAATAGCCTAATACAATCAGAGTTATTAAAGTAATACCAATAATAACTTTATTTAAATGGAAAAAACGTTGAGAAAAAAGTTACAAAATACAGTTTTTGACCTACTCATGCGGGTCCTTTGGTTCCATCTAATAAAACAACCAGATTCAAGCTAAAAAATTTCAGCAAAATCACTTTATTCTATGTGCCTTATATAAAAAATAGCCAAAAACAAACAGTTTGCCATAACCAGAATCTGGAAAGAAAACAAAAAATTCTGCTCTCCTCAGTGCAACAGCAAAGCCCTTACTGACTTAGTTGTAGCCGATAGTCATAGTAACAAGGAATTTGATTGAACTGAGGACGTGCTTACACAGAGCAAATAGGAGATGTGTATGGAAAAAAAAGTAGCAAATAATATATACTGTATGTAGCATGTATTGTATGTTTCCAAATGTTGGTGAGCCCTGCATACATTTAGAAAAATTTGGTGCATGTTGATTTCAAGTTTTAAATTAAATTAGGATTAAAGTAATATATATATATTTTAAATAAAAGAAACAACATAAAAGAAAAGAAAATAACAACCAGAAATTAACACATTAACAAAATAAAATCATTTAAACAATTCCAACAAGTATCATCAGTTAAGAAAAGATATATGATAAATGTGAGTTTTAATTACAGGGAGTTGCAGAGCTGAGGGACCCAGACAGCAAAGGCTGTTACCTTTGGTGACAATTAGAGATGGAAGAACCATAATTAGAACCCTCCCAGAGGATCTCAAGCAGTGATCAGGTTCATAGGGAGTTAGCAGATCATAGATGTGGGCAGGAGCCACACCAAAACGATAATACAGTGATCATACAGTATGACAATATCTCTTACGAGTGACAACTTTTCTTACTCTCAGATTATCACCTAATCATCAAAACCATATTCTTCTTTTGCAGAAATGTAGTTACTTTACATAATAGCATACATAATACGTTTTTATTATTTAATTCATTAGTCCCCAGTTCTTGTGTTTGTATACTAGTATATTACAGTGACATGGTCTCCAATGCCTTACTGCAAAAATGGAATATGCAAAACCTTGTGTTTGATCAAATGTTGTGCAACGGCAGTGTGTTTACATTCCAGTGCCAAAAAAAACAAAACAAAAAAAACAGCATTGTGCCTAATGAAAGAGATTAGTATGAGACGATGAGAAGGTCAGACCAGCATACGACCATCAGCCTCCACTGACAACCACATGTTACCGTCACGTGCACAGCTTTGTCTAGGAAAGAAACTTCTGCAAGTTATTTTTAGAATCAAACTGTAGGGGTGATTCATTTCTTGTCTTCTGTCAGGTGGGAGAGGTTGATGCAACATCTGTTGCATACTCATCTAAAAAAAAAAAAAAAGAAAAAAAGAGGCTCGTCTATCCTGTTGTCATCCTGCACTGTGGCCATCTGGCCCATGGACACAATCTCTCACTGATACACTCACCCACATACAAAAAAAACAAGACAAAAAAACACAGTATTTTCCCTAAACACATAGAAACACACAGATGCACAAACTCAAATAATCCCTATCAGAGCCTTTGTACACATGTAGCACTCTGACATACCAGGAGCTCGCTGATAAGCTGACTGGTTGAACACGTAACACCGAGACACAGACCTCAGGTGTTCATTAATTGTGCATGTGAGCTGACCAGGGTCACATTGGCTAAAAAAATAAATAAATAAAAAATAACTGCCTACATCCAGAGACACAAATAGGCACACACTCATGTGTTTACATGTGCAGAGGGTGGACAGAACAACAGGACCGCTGTACATACGAGACGACAAAATGTATCTCTGTGAAGGTTAAAATATTTAGCATTTGTTGACGCCGTGGCACAGAGTTTAACTTACACACTGTGCAGAGGGCACAGAAAAAGTGGTAAAAATAAAACAGCCTCCACAAATGATATTATTCTAGTTAGATTTTTAATTTTTAGAGTTTTTGTATTACTAATGATTTGTCATCTGTTTTTAGAATGCTTTTTAAAATCTAAAAATAATTGAGCTTTTTTTTTTTTTAACCGCAAAGATGACTAGAAGATTACATTTATCCTTTACTTAACTGAAACATAATATGTAGACGAATTTAACATCAACTTAACACTACAAGCTGTAATTCGTTGAAATGTGTAATTATAGGCTCTATTATTAAGGTCAGTTATATTATATCACATAATAATAATGATGCAGTTATTGTGTTCGATTGCATGGGATTGTGAGGTGTCCCTGTTATTTTTCCCACCCCCCGTACAGTTTAGCAATACAAACGCACACCCACTGACAGGATGAATGCCACTGGGACAATCTAGTCTGTCATTTCAGATAAACAGTGATTGTTGACCAGGGCCCACAGCACCGACACTGTTACACAGAGAAAACAGAGCTGACACCAGAACACAATGTGGGCATGTTGTCACAGCACATCTCTTCTATGTGACTGTATGTACTAGGACACATCAATCTACACATATATGAGGAACCGAGGTGGCCATGGTGGTCTACATTCTCCTCCCTATAGGCTGAAACCAGCACAGTACATGCACTGGTTTCTAAGATTAGCTTTGTTATAATTAGAGGGAAATAATTCGAAATTTCCATGAAACGCTTTCCCATTTAATGCAAGGTTCTGTATCTGAGCACACAACTCCTTCCCTCCTCCACACCCGCTTCTCTCAGACACAAAAAGTAGGTGAGGAGAGGCTCTAACTGGGCCAAGGGTCGAAGGGGTAAGATCACATTTGAAATCCCATCCAAGAAAGTGAGTGTTGTTTGTTTCCAAGGCCACCTGCACCGGCCAGTGATATCCCATGGTTTACGTTTTCAGCTGTGGAGTCTCGCTGTGTTTTCATGTGAGTGCTCTCCGTGGCTGAGCTGCTCTCCTTCGCTGGGGTCACTATCACAGCTGTTTTCATGCCAGCTGCTGAGCAAATCTGCCGAGCAGTGCCGGGGCCCAGCGACTGGCACAGCTCGGCAGGACTCTCCTAAGGATGACGCACTAAGTCCTGCTGAGCAGTAATTGTATATCGCACTGCTCTCTGTAGCATAAGTAGATTACTCTATTCAGCTGTAGGAGGTGTGGTAAGGTCTACAAAGGTCACACTGAAGCATATTTTTTTGTTTACTCATGTCCCTATAAGAGGTTTTAGCAGAGACGTTAAAGGCAGAGATTTGACACCTAAAGAATCCTGAATAGGACTCTATGGGAGAATATAACAAATATGGCGGCTGTATGACATCTCTCCTTCAAAGAGCCAACTGTCTGCTTTATAACAGCTGAACCAGGAAAATGTTTTGTTGCACGGATTCAAACGCAGAGTCATGAAATTATGATCATGTGTTGTGGAAAAATTATTTTGAAACCTTATGGGGCAAAGTCATCAAACTTTTAAAGCAACATTTCAATCTGATTTGGCTGTTGATAATAAACGTGCATTTTTTATGTCACACTCAGCATTGAAATAGCAGTTCTCATTGGTGAGACTTGCCGAAAAGGGACTTTGGTTTTAGCAAATGGCAAAGAAAAATCATCATCGGCAAACAAAGTGACAAGAATGAACATCTTTTTTCAAAATTCAACCAGTTTCAATGATTGTGGTTTCATTTTACTCAAGCATAATTTGTTTGTCACATGGTCCAAAATAACAAAAAAAACATACATTTCTGTCAAATGCTGTAACACAGACTCATTGCCTTTATAGTGCATGGATCGACCTGTCATGTATAGTAAAGCACCATTCTGCTATCTTGAAATGTTGTGGAAATTGTAAGAAAAGGTGGGTAAAGTGGGTTTTATTTCATGAAACATTTCAATTTGAATAATTTCATTCAAAACACATACTCCTAACTTCGAAAATGATCAACTTGCCTTTTGTTTTGAACGTAAATAACACTTGCTATATTGCACCATGACACTTAACAGCACAAGCTATAGAGGTTTAACAAGCTCTTCAAACAAAAAAGTACATTTCTTCTACTTTTTTCAATTGTTGTCTTTTTAACAATACAGGACATGTGTTGCAAGGAAAGGAAAACATGTAGGTTAGCATCTACTTTTTACTCATTCATGTTGCTACAGTGTAAATAAATAATCTTTGTCATGTTATCCACTCACCCTGCAGGCTTGTCCACCTTCAGAAACGCCTGGATGACCAAAGGAAACTCATACTTGACTATGTAGAGGTAACTGGACATGGCTGTGGAAGGAAGTCACATACACACAGTATGTTAGTGGTAAGATGCGTCATATAAACACACACAGAGCACGCATTAATCCCAAGCAACAAATCCTACACTACTACGAGCGTTACCCCAGAAACGTCAGAAGTCATTTTTAAAAACATGAGCCTGTGTAAGCGTGACGACAGATGGCAGTGGGTGATCTCACCTCCAATGTTCTGCAGCGTGATGGCGATACCCGCCGCCATCTTCCCCGGGGTCCCGAAGGCCCTGTAGCCGAGCTGCTCGTACGCACGGATACCTGAGCCACGAGAACCAGCAGACAACAGAATATTACCCACGTGTTAAATCCACACTAAAGTGATGTATCTAATTAGGCTTAACAATGATAAAGTGATGTGCAGCAGGTCAGAGAGTGCTGGAGGTTCACACATTGTCATCATGTGATACTGACGGTTGATGCTTACTTAGCAGAAGATTGTATAACAACATACATACCTACAATACCAGAACACTTTAGCAGCAAATGGATGGAATATGATGAAAGCCCTGCGACCACTGTGAGGAGTAACCTGAAAAAATATGACAGGAAAAAAAACGCATTTAATCACTAAAATCATACAGAATGTTCTCATTTTTTGGTGGTTTTCTGGTACATTGTTACACTGTATGTTACCCTGCAGGCTGTTTATCCAGCTGCAGCACAGACATACATTTTCTGGATACCGGTATATAAACCAGAGCCCCTGCGGCTCCACTTTACACAGATTGTTACTCCAGCTGATCCAGAGGGAGGCTGCCCCGTCAGCCCCTCTGCCCTCCGTCACAACCACACACACACACACACACACACACACACCAGATGGACTGTTTAAAAACAACACAATGCAATACCGAGGCTGACAGAATGAGGAAAATCTTTTGTAAACACTAATCATCTTTCTCTTTGTTCCTCAGCGGTGGAATAACCCACTTCAGTCGCAGCAAGTAATTCCTTTCATTTTCTGTTATTTCTTCAAGAGGAACTCGTAATGATTTTCTCTCCACTGACTCACATGCTCCATTTTTACATGTAGCACCGCATCATGCATTATGCTGATGAGTTTCTATCTTTTCTATCTTATAATGAGAGTCTTCTGTTTGGTTGCTGGAATAATTCTTAATCTGCTCCAAAGTCCTATTCCACTGTCGCTCTCCTTAAAAATCATGATGTGTGAGAGTGGGATTTTTTAAACCAACCGTCTGTGGTGTCTAAGCTAGAAAATGTGAGGCTACACAGACAAATATTCTAAAAATGCTCTGTTAGAGGTCCTAGCTTAGCCAAAAATCTCCTTCAGATACACATCAAACAGCAAAAATATAGTATTGGCATATTTGTGCAGTCTTCAGAGATAGATGTGCCTGCATTTGAGCAGATGCAGTGCTTTCTATGAAATATTCTCCTATTTTGATGTTATTTTTCTGTATTTTTGAGAAAATGTGAAGAAACATCACAATTTTAAGAATTCTCTTAAGAATTTTCTCTCTGGGGACGAATCCTTGGCAGGACGCAGCTTCATGAATGGGCCCCTGATCTACTGACTTTGCCTGACCCAGTCCACCTCATTCCAACTATTTACTGTTTTCTCTTTTGTTGTTACTGTTGGCAACATTAACTTTCTCTCTCATACACACTCTCTCCATTCCTCTCTCCTTTTGCAAAGGCCAGGCAGCTCGTCTTTCACCTCGACTTCAACTCTTGGCCAGCAAACAGGTCTTTTTTTTGTTGTTGTTGTTGTTTGTTTGGCTTTTTTTTTCGTGGAAGAATGCTGGGCTGACTGACTTGCGGGCAAGGATTTAGTCAGTCAAGTGGCAGTGGGAGGACAGATCTGCTGATAGTCAGACAGACTGACACACTTGGGTCACTGTAATTCTAGCGCTCGTAGCTTTCCACCCCGCTGCATTCCTTCCCAGACCAGGGCCTCTGACCTGCTGAAGCCTCCGCACCCGCCAACAAAAATGATATGAACCAGAGGAAACAGAAACAAAGGGCATTCCCAAGCATGCACTCAATACATTCAGTTATCGACATTCAATGAGAACTGCCTTGACTTCACCTCTGTCCTCAGTATAGACTGAAAACTGCAAGTTTGGCAACTTCAAATTGGATTGGGTAAGAGATGTACTCACATAAACCTGCCTATTGTTCAATTAATCTCTAACAATAATCTGCAATGCTTGGCTCAGGTGGTAGAGCGGGTTGAGCAGGAATCACAAGGTACTTGCCAAAGTGTCCTTAGCACCTTCCATTGTAGCCATTAAAGTAGGAGTCTTTGTATGAAAGGATGAATGAAAAGTACACTATAAAGCGATTTGCAGAACCTTAACAAAAGTTCAAAGAAGCTTTATGCAGTGATTATGGACCATTTACTTATACTGTGTTAGCTATCGGCATAAATAACTGATGCATGTTTCCTCACACCAGTGTGCACATGGAGGCAGACACGTAAAAGACTTGATCATACTTTAAGGTTTATTTTACAGTAGACATCTGGTGCAGGTGAGCCATTTCTACAGGTGACATTTACACCAAACAGCCACATCAGTAAAACCACCTGCCAAATATTATGTAGGTTTGTGTTGCCAAAACAGCTTTGACCTGTCGGGGCATGGAAACAGGACCTCTGCGGGTGTGCTTTGGTGTCTGGCACCAGGATGTTGGCAGTGGATCATTGAGGTCCTGTGGGTGGCGGGGTGGAACCTTCATAGATCAGGCTAAAGCATCCCGCAGATGCTAAATCGGATTGAGATCTGGGGAGTTTGGAGACCAGGTCAACGCCAGGGTGCATGGTACATGTCAGTGTAACATCCACATGGATGCCAGGATCCAACAGAAAACTGCACTGCGTTGACATGATCCATGTTATTCACTTCACCTTGGCCATGATTTTAAAGTGGTGGCAGATTGGTGTGTTTTCTTTGCTTTCCTCCTCTTGTTTGAGCAAACTGTCTGACTCCGTCTTTGGTCTTGTGTCCCCATTAAGAGAGGAACACTGGCGAAAAGATGAAATGTGTATTTTGAGGCGATCACAAGCTTGCAGTTCGATGTGGAACATGGTGAAATTGCCAGTATTCCTTTGCCAAATATGTCACTGACCCTGCCTGTGTCTCCCAGCTGCTACTCTATTGTTTGATACAAGATCACGCAGATATGCACACAAAGACACGGCCTTTCATCTCACACAGGATGGATAAATGCACGCTATCTGCTGCATTTAGTCACGTACTATCAATTTGCAGGCGATTATGTGTACACATTGGAGTGAGACATAGCTTAATCGGCTACAGAGTTAATTTCAGCTCCTGTCCAGCCAAGTGTCAAAGACACTGTGGTTTGGTGACACAGGGTTCAGCCAGTCCAGACGGCAGTCAGCCTGAAAAAAAAAACCACAGTCACACAAGTCAGATCAAAATAAGGAGCTTTATCTAACCACGAGGCAAAATCCTACAGACATGACCGCCTCGGAGAAGGAATGTCCTTGAATAACATTTTGGGATGGTGGTAGCTACTGAATGCTACCATATATTTCAACATTTCACAGTAATGCTGACATAAATAATCTTCTCTGTTGTTGGAAGTTGTTTTGAAATTATTTTATCAACCAACAGGAGAGAACATCTAATTTTAATCTACAAATCCACTTCAAACAAGCCAGGAGCTATACAACTATCCAATCCATCACTTCACCTCTCACTGGAAATCTGCACCGATGTCGTGTTTTGAACGGTCAGTTAAATAAGCTGTCACTCTGGGCACTGGGGGGTTCACAACAGGGCCCTCTGATCTTTCACAAGTAAAATGCTGACCTCAGCCAGCTTCAGCACCATCCACCTCACAGCCTCGCACCATCAGACAGAAGTGTCAAAACAGCACCACGAAGACAAGGAGACGAGTAAAAGTGTTGATGCTGCTGGTGCTATCGAGCGACATTTCTCTCTAGAGACACAAGACTGATTATTTCTGAGAAGGGCGCAACAAAGCAGATCAGCCTCACAGCTGGAAACCTCATGAGCAAAGAGGAAATGTACAAGCAGTAACCAGACTGCATCGTTATGGCAAAAACCCTAGTCGTGGTTATGTTTATCAATATTGAGATCACAGTTATTATTTGATTTTAAGGACAGAATGTTTTTATTGCACTTTCATGTTTAATATGCAGCTTTTACTTCCATGGTGGGCTACATTCCTGCTGATGTGCAAATCTTTGCATCAAAGTAAGATTTTAGGTAAGTTTAAAATGTACATGAAGCTATACATAAAACCCTTCACTGGCTGAAAACTGTTTTTCTAATAGCAGATTTACCCAAAGCAAGTGACTTCATGTTTTTTATGTTTTCTAAGAGCAGGGCATTTTAAATGTCAATATGACAGTCAATTGTGTTTATTTAGTTGTGGGATGTTAAAAATGTACTTGTGATTAATATTGGACTATTTAGTAGCCTTACGCTGTAAAAAAAAAATAAAAAAATAAACATTTTTTAACATTTTCAACTGTAAGTTTTTGATTTTTTTCCTATTTTGTTAGATTACAGATAATACCTGGTAAAATCACAATACAATCACATTATTTAAAAGTATTAATTTCATTTTTATAAAAGGTAATTTGCTCTTTTACAGAATTTAAAATGACACTGTCGGTGCCCCTATAGCTCACCTAGTTGAGCGGGTGACCCATGAAAAGGGGCCTTAGCTCCCCGATGCAGTGGTTGTGGGTTCGACTCCTGCTCACGACCCTTTGCTGCAGGTCTCTCCCCATTCTTCTCCCCCTCTTCCTGTCTATCTCTACTGCTCTAAATAAGGGCAAAAAGCCCAAAAAATATATTTTTTTTAAAAAGTTATTTTATTTTATTTTTTAAATGACACTGTCTTTAATGTGTTTAACTATATTTGCTGTTTATCTGAGAGAAGAACTATGCATACTAAGGGTCACAAAATGGTAAATAACTTTTTAAATGTGTAAATTATGTACCTCTTTAGAATCTGTTTTGTTGTGGGGGGATTACCATAAAAACTACAAGCACTTTAAAAAATATTTGCCATTATTTTTACCCTTTAAAAAAATAAAATACATTTCTGAAACTCCTGCCCCCTATTTTTACATTTGTTTTTTTTTCTAACAGATTTTCTTCACAGTGTATCGTGACATATGCATGGTAAGACCTAAATGAGCATGTAAAGCTTTGACAGCTTGTTAGCCAAATACCATATCACTTTTCTTTTTTTTAATGCTGTAGTTTTAGAAAAAAAAGGAGGCACAATACACCCCAGACAAGCAACATGTCTATGGAGGATCAAATCATGTTAAATCTAGACTAGACATGCCCTTAATGGCTGGAGGTTTACACACGATTAGACAGAGGTTGACCAAACTCTTGATGACGATGCCAGCACAACAACAATAAAATGCCAGTAAAAGGTTAAGAATTTCTTCAAATCAAGCAATTTGCTAAAAAAAGGATTTCTTTTGTGGTTGGCACAAATACCATAAAAAAAACCTACACCCCCAATGAATAAATTGGTGCTAGCATAGTATGAGAGCTCTCTGTTGCTGAAAAGGTCAAAAGACCTCGAGTGCATGTAAATAGGAGAGAACAAACCCAGCTGCAGTCGACTGTGACATCACCAACCTGACAGACGACGCTGCCGTGGAGACTTGAAATGTTAAGTCGCTCATATTTACTGTACCCACAGGTAGAGAACCAAAACACACAAAAACCATGTGGCTATTTTCTGCGTCTTTGATTGCAATTGCGTATGTTTATAGCACAAGTAAATGATTTCCAGCACGCTATTAATTTGGGTCATTATTTAGCAAACAAATCCGCCCCGAGTCATCTGTTTCTGTGTCACCAACAGGCTCTGCTGCTGGGTTATTACAAGTAAATTACAATGCAATTAGGTGCCATTTATGTGTGACGCAGATCTCCACTGGTAAGACCTTGGAGGGAACAAAAATGAATCAGGCATCTGTGAGCTGTATTTCAGCTTCAGTGCTTCTCGTCTCTCAGATTTGATCATATCAGATGCATGCGAGCAACTTACAAAAAAAGGACGACCCCCGTGTTGGCCATAGCGTAGGCAAGTCCGAGAATTCCGCTTCCCATGATTGCATTGCCCAGGTTGAAGACAGACATCCCGAATGATGTTTTTCCTTCAAACTACAACCAAAGAAAGACAGAGAAGAAGGTGTGTTGAATCTGCTGCTAGCATATTGCTGTTAATCATGATGCATCTGACTCGTGTGTGAACTCACGTCTGTAAAGCGCGTCGTCTTCTTGTCCTCTGCGCCTGATAAGAACTCCTGGCTCTCTGGGAGGTTGGCCTCTGCATTTTCAGTTCTGTGAGGACTAATAATCAGAAACGCTGTCATGAGAGCATGAAGTGGCAGACAAATGACAAAACCACTCAAGATTCATCTCACTCAAAGCCAATTCTTCTTTATAGAGCAGGCTCTTGCTCTAAACTATTGGCTTCTCTGTCTATCTAAGCTCATTTCCACACACAACATGTGAAACAGACACACATTCAATATGAAACACATTCCCTCTTTATGATTTTTTGTCATACATACCTAGCATTCTGGGCACTATTGGCTACAGTTTCCCTACAAGCAGTGCAGAGAGAGGTCATCCGTCACCCAACGAGAGCACAAAGTGGAAAAAACAACACCCACAGTCATGATGTAATAAGAGCAATAACAGCACAGTCAAGGGACTGTCAATAAATTCTCATCTATATCCTGGAGAGAGAGGCTTTAATTAAACCATCTATTACAAAGACAGAGGACACAACAAACACAGCTCAACAGCCAGTGACATGATAATTAGGCGGTAAATTCATTCCGTAATCCAGCATAAGTTCTAATACAGTAAGTGAGCAAGTGGGAAATAAATTTCTTGCTCAAAGGCGCTTCACCTGGCACTAACCCTCCTATTACCTTTAAATTTACTAACATCTTGTATCCTTGGGTTCAATTTGACCCCAGCAATTTGAACCTCCAGAAAATATCATAATGAAAATTGTTACCCAAGTTTATGTCTAAATGGCCCTTTAAATAAAACTGAAAAAATTCAGTCAATGACTTATTTAGAGATGTTAAACATTGAATAGGGTGAAATTGACCTTAAAGATAATAGAAGGGTTAATGGATCACAAGGTCTTTGCTGTTACAAGGGTTAAATCTGCAATCCTTTGGCTTGAGGTCGCTACCATGACAAGGACATTGTGCAACACACAACATTAGCTGCTGTACTGTATCTTTTCCTAATGTGTTGTGATTGTTTTCAGTTGGAAAATATTTTTACTGATCTGTAAGTCATAAAAATGACATTCCAGCCAAATACAGTGACAAAAAGCAAAAAGCACCTTCAATAAAGATTTTCTTTAAAGTCGATATAAAGTCATTCTCTCCTCGTTGATTAAACCCTGAAAAAAAATGTCTGTGTTTCAAAGTTACATATTTAGAAGCTGTTTTCCTATGAAAATAATCCTTGCCTGCTTTAATATGATTTTGGTGTAACTTGATTCTTTGGAATATGCAGATCTTTGAAGTCCACGCCTCACTCCAGTCTAAATCAGTGCAGCTCGAGCACTCACCTCCAACTCTGCTCAAGCACTGTAAAAATACCTGCAAAAACTGTGTTGCACAGTGGCAAGCAAATTTTGGGAAAACTGTGTCATAAATGCTAGATCTGGAAACTGATTCTAAAAAATATAATGACAAAAAAAGCCAAAGAAAGAACGCAAGCTGCCAGGATTAGTTTCTTGTGTTCGATACATACTGCATGACACTGTGGCTGTTTCAGAGACAGTCATCAGCACACTTCAGTTCCAAAGTCCAATTGCTCAATCATGGTGTTGACTGCTTATTTGCCTGTTTTCCAACACGTAAAAAACATTACGAGGTTTAAAAAATAAATTGGTATCACAAAACACCGTAAAGTTTTTCCTTAAGTGTTTAACTACTGCACAAAAGACCTTAAACACCACCAAAAATGTAAAAAAAAAAAAAAAAAAAAAAAATTAAATAAATTATAAAGGTACCTCTGACTCTGTCTTAACCACAACAAGGCCAATTTTATGGCAATAAATAAAGAAAGTAGACAGTTACAGACTTCCTGAATTCATTTTTTGGTGATTTCCTTCCAAAGTCATTGTTTTCTTTGCTGCTGTGTAGATTCTGAGTCATCCAAAGTATGGTAATTCTAAGAACTTCAGAAAATGTGGCTGGACTTCTTCTTTTGGTTTTTGAAGACATTTCACTTCTATTTAAAAAGGCTTGAACTGAACTGAAGTGAACATTTTGAACTGAAGAAACCTCTTGGATGACACTTAAAAAAGTCTTCAGGAACCAGAAGGAGAATTGTCCTTTTTTCTGTTTGCTGTTATTTGCGGTTTGAACTTACTATTCGTATGTGCTTTCTTTAACTGTATTCTAACAGAAGAAGAATATTTTCCTTCACTGACCAATTTGGTTTACCTGTTTTCTTTTCTTCTGCCATTTGTTTACTATCTATAGACCAGCTTTGTAAGACAACAACAGGTATCAGAAGTACAAACAAACAGTGTAGATGGAAACTGTAGCATCTTACAGCTGTAAAATCTCTTTCAGTGCAGTAAATACCCTAACATTTGTCCTTTGCTACAGAAACCTGTAAGAAGTTCAGTGCCATTCTTTAATAAATCCTTCAGCTAAGAAGAAATTAAGCCTTCAATGTCATACTTAAAAAGAAATCTCCAGGTGTTTTGTGCAGGCCTGTTAATGCTGATGGAGGTAAACTCTTGCCGTAGAAACAGGCACAAGGAAACTCCACATGCATGTATAATGTGATGTGACGCCAAAGAGAGTAAGACCTCTTCTAAGTGGCAGGTTAAGACTTAGAGTGAAGGTACCCAGTGAATCTAAACACCTTGCCTACATAGCCACAACAATCCAATTACTTATTAAATCCTCACAGTTTCTCGGGACTATTATTTTCATCTTTGAAGACTTTTTTAGAGCTGAGATTTCTGTTTGTCTAAAGAGCAGTGTACCTTGAAAATAACTGGGTTTTTGTTGTTGTTGTTTTTCTTAAAAGACAGCTACTGCCTCTGACAGCTAGAAAGGAAGAAACAGAGGCAACAGGAGCAACAGAAAAAGCTTTAACCCTTTATCGGGCAAGGAATCATATGTATGTAACTTCCGCTGGCTTTAAAAATGGCAGGGGGCAGAATCACGTGACTTCATCCAGCCAATCAGCGAAGTCACAATGGAGGGACATTTTGATACAAGTGTCATAAGCATAGACTGTATAAAAGATGGACGTAGCAACCGGCCCTGAAAAATGAAGCCAACCCGGAAGTGTCAAAAACCTGCAATATCACTACGTCCGCTAGCTGCTGGCTCCAAAAAGCCCTGGCTCCCATAGAAATGAATTGGAAAAGAAGTGATCACAGATCACAAAATACTGCATTCCTACAGCTCAGGATTTGTTTTTTATTAGTTTTCATGGTCACGTCCAGAGATCAGGTGGCCAATCTGAAAATAAATCAATACGGAATTTTTTTTAAATCGTCAAAATTTTGCGGGGCAAGGGGCGTGGCTGGCTTGATTGACAGTCGGCAGCGGTGATGCAGACGAAGCGAGCAAAAGGCGGTAAATTTGTGTATTTCTCACAATAATTTATTCACATATTATTTGGATTTTTTGGGGGTGGGTGGTCAATTATATATGATAACTGCTTTCACTTTGATTTTCTGCCTATATCTGAAACTTTTTTAAAAAGTCAGAAAAGAAAAAAGTGTCTTCTTATATCCACCAATAACATTCCAGGGTTGAAATTTTAAATTTCCAAGTATTTCAATGAGTGCCCTATAAAGGGTTAAATTAAAATTTTGTATACAGGTTTAAACGTCAGACCAAGCAGGTCTAATTCCAGACCTCTACAAAGTTGCCTTCTGAGTTGCTGTTTTTTTTTTTTTTTGTAAAGTAGCTGATCAGCATGACTGTGATTGTAAACTTACAGTCAGAGTCATAAAGAACCATCTATAGCTACAAGAAGAACAAGGAGTCGTACAACAGTCATGGATTATATGAAGACACAGAATCAGCTGAGTCAGCACACAGAAGAACTGTTGCAGGTTCTTCAACATGCATCTGCCAAGATCCCTGAACATTGTGCCCAAGAAAAGGCATTTCACACAAAGTATCACTTCAGCTGTCAACACTAATAATTCATTTCCTGACGAGTTTAGACAACACAGTTGTAAAGTTTTAGATGTAAGATCACTGACCACTTGATAACTGGCAGTACTCACTTTTCCCCGTCCTCTGTAGGTGGCGTTTTGGCCGACGCTGTGATCTCCTCCCCAGGCTCATGGCCTTTCCCGTTAGGAATAGCATTCGCCTCAGCTGGGGTACTTTCCACAGTCTCGGCTGGTTTGTCCTCACTCATATCTGCTCTGGTGAGTAATAACCTGTCTGCTGAAATGTGTAGATGTCTGAGACTGTGTGAATGTCTGCTGAGTGCTCAGAGAGTGACGCTTTTATTTTCCTCCAGGGATCTGTGGGAGAAAAAGAAAGAAAGAAAAAAAAAACAGGCAATTAGAATATGAATTTTGCAGTGAAATATGACTGAGCAGTCTGCTTTGCTCTGCAGGTAAAAGACAAGATTGTATAAAAACAATCACAGGCTGAACAACATTTGGTCATCTCATTTCATGACTCATTTAGTGATGACTCATTATCAAGCAATTTAAAATCGTAACCATAGAATTTATTAAGGGACGCTTTAAAGATTCAGGTCATTATTATAACACAGCCAGTACAAGGGCAGATATGAAAGGAGAGAAATAAGGTTCCTGGACACAATCTAACTAGGAAGGCTCCAGTTAAGTCATCTGATTATGTGAATATGTCACATTTTCTGAGTTATTTTTTCTTCTTTTTATTTTCAAGTGGAGCTGCAGCGACTAATCGACTAATTGTCACTTATGAAATTAATCACCAACTATTTTGATAATTAATATGTTTGAGTAAGAATTAGCTGGGATAGGCTCCAGAATGTCAAAATGACATGTCACATAATAAAAACCCAGCTGATACAGTGAACCCTCGCTATAACGCGCTTCACCTTTCGCGGCCTCGCTGTTTCGCGGATTTTTTTAGTGCAGTTTTTTATGCTTTTTTTTTTTTTACAGTGTATGAACGTGTATGTTCTTCTCTCGGAAAAAGACACCTGCACCACGGCCTTCAGTAGAAAAAGACGCTACAGCGGAGCGGAGTCAGCACAAAGAGGCGCAGTCAGAGGAACTGTGAAATACGTGAGTCAAAATGTGTCCAACCTCGTAGGTTGATTATTAAAATTATTATTTTACAGTATTTCTGAAAACTATCATAGTTATTTGTAAGAAAACGTTTCTACTTTTATTTCTTAAACAAATGCTTGGGACTGAAAACAGGTTTTGATCTTTGGTTTCGTTCTACAGTACTGTATAAAAATTGTAAAAAATAAAGCTGACTACTTCGCGGATTCCGCCTATCGCGGGTTCTTTTTGGAACGTAACCCCCGCGATAAACGAGGGTTCACTGTAAAAGGATTAGGTGACCGTACATGGGTTGAGAAAATTCATCCAAGTCCTAAATTACATAAAATATTCAAAAATTCACTGCATTAAATAGACTAACAACTATGGGGGGGTTTCATAACTCAAGAAAAATGCATGTTTTAGAGATGCTTTAGACTTGAGATAATATTTATTTAATTAAATTACAATAAAACATCTAAATAAGAAACCGGCATACCAGTGAAATGACACCAGCAATGCTGTTATTCCTCATTTCCACAGATCATTCAAGCGAGTCTGCCTTGTCCTTTAGCATGATTGCACTCAAAATCCCTTCCTGTGAATGCTGACAGAGAGGACGATTTAAAGGATGTTTCTTGTTTTTTTTTTTCAAATGCAGCTTTTTATGAAACAAAATTTGAACGACTGACATCAGGGTGACTGTCAGACTAACTAACATTTTCTCCTGGAACCTATAGCAAAACCACCAATGAATGGATGTTTTGGCAAACTCTGTGAATAATTGACACATCAACTGACAGATCCACGCTCAGAGGAAACACAGCTTTCAGTTTGCCATGACACACTGGGCTTTGCATCAGGCCTCTATTTCCTGGGTGTCCTGTTGTGTTGTCGTAGCTGACCAGCTGGCTTGTGAGGCCCAGAAAGGCCCCAGTGACATGTATCTCCTAGATGCTGTTGACTAAAGCCTTCTCTCTGGCTGGCCCTGAAAGATCTGCTTTTCTCCGCTGCATATACAGCAGTGGAAGCTATAATGGTAACCGCGTTGGGGGCCATAAAGGAGGAACAAACAAATGGTCGAACCCCCAGCATTGAGATACAAAAAGAAGAACCAGCCAGGACCAGCTACGAACCAGTTCTGGCCGTCTTTGTGCCTCCATTTTTCTGCTTGTCACTTTTCTCTTGGTTTCCTCTTTTATTGAGGAGGGTTCAACATAGCCACAATGCCCAGGGTTTTCTGTACTACCATTCCTGGCAACCACTCAGCCGTCCCCATTCCCTCAGGCTTCTTCCGCTTCACAGCCTGCTCTTTTAAATGTAGCTGTTTTGTTCAGAAAAAAATATTTTAACACATCAAATACAGTGCGAGGTGAAAAAACCCTGGTCTTCACCTAGCAGTCCTCTGAACCTGGCCTACCAACCACATAGCTGTGAGCTTCACTGCACAGCCAGGCCTCTCGGTGTCTCTCTGGCTAAAGGCGTGCAACGTGGTTGGGCAGCAAAGCACAGTGCACAATGGCACATGTTGTGCGGTTTCCTGGGAACGGGTTGGAGAACAGTGGTACTATTGTGCCAGGCATCATTATACTGCCGGGGCCCCCTTGGCTGTAGTTCGCCAGGCCACTTGAGGGGCTGAAAAGGTATTTCACTGGGCTCTAATTGAAAAGACGCCACCTTGAATTCAACAAATGCCAGTATCCTGTATTCATGCGCAGTTGTAGCAGAGTTGCTGACGGTGGCAATGGCAGAGGCAGGGCTACCGTAGTGGGACAAATCACTGCACAGAACCACGCTGCCACTCAGATAGTCTACAAATCACGGCGAGGTTGGGGGAGCCATTCAGAGACATTGCGCGATGGGCCGTCCTGCTACAAGGGTTCCTCCTCAATGGCCTCGAGCAGTGGACCTTGAAACAGGAGACCTGATTGGCCCGAGTTGTGTCCTCTACAATCACTATATTCAATAGCAAAGGAAATACATGACACCCTTGAAAATAGCTAAGTGTAAATCCACTCACTGAATCAGAACCTCTTATTTTTAGAAGGCTTGTTGTCCGGTCTTTCGAGCAAATGAAGGTGAAACAGAGACAGCAGAAATGCTTTGAAGATATTACCCCTATAAAAGTATGGCAAAGGTTTGACTGCATATATGCTGAGTCTAATGGCAGGAATTATCTGCCAAGTAAAAAGATATGTTCTGAAACTGCATGATATTGTTTAATCCATACACGGTTAGCAGATGCATGGCAGCCTATGGTACAGGATTGTCAGATTTTAATGTGGACATGAGCGATTTCATCATTCTTGGGTCTTGCCTTTAATCATAGTAGCACCATCGGGTGGATTCAGAGTCAAATCTAATTGAAATAACGAGTCACCACAAATAATTTGAAGCATGAAAAGGAAGAAAGACTTTCAGCCCCCACAGACTCAAACTCAGTGACCAAAGAACCATTGTGGTGTGAAACAGAGATAGGGCTGTTTGTACAAACTGAAACCCTCTGTAGCCTGTAGACACTGTGTCGTGACAAAACATATGTACATCTGTCTGCATGAGAAACCGCAGTCAACCCTGATGTCAAAACATCTCATATCCAAGGAAATCAGGGTTTAAACGAATGTTCAAAATGATGCATTTGGTGTTCATTTTGTTCAGTGCACAACCCTGTGTGCAGAACATAGACAGGCTGACAGGGAGGTATTTAATCTTGCACTCCTCTGTTACGTTAATTGTAACTACATTTTCTCAAGATCACATAACGACGGCAATGGAAATGCAAACACACAAAGCTTTGCGTCAATAACTGAAATAAAGAAAAAAAATACGGATTAGAAAGAAGGAAAAGCAACTAAGCAACAGACGGATCAGATGGGGAAAAAAGAAAGATTATCTTTACAAAACCAGTATCCCTCCACTGCTGTCCAAACTTCCGAATCCTGTGCAAGAGTTAATGCCACATTGTGATGCTCTTGGTGGGAGTAAATGCGTCTTTTCACAGCGACAGCAGAGGCTATGTTTATTCAAGTCCTCATCCAAAACATCACCTCCGTTTGCCAACACACAGTGAGTGTGTGTGCCTCAGTTCGCCGGCTCTGACGTAAGCAGCTCTGAGGAGGGACGTCATCCCACAAGGAGGGAACCAGAGCCAGGAAGCTTCGCTGATTGTTATTCCCAAACTGATACCTGAACCAAATCCTGCTGCGCCTACTGATTCACCCTCATTTATTGCTGTGCATGTGTGCATTTGTAGTTCATTCAGTGAGTACTATAATTAAATGTGCGGCTTTGAATGTGTGTGTGTGTGTGTGTGTGTGTGCAGTTTATGTAATGAGTAATCTCAAACTGTAATACTGCCTCTTCTGCCAGGACTTGATGACATTCTAATAGGCCTGTGGCCATATAAGCTTTCTTAATTGAGTCCCCAGTGTGATTTTCAGAGACTCTTAATCTGTTGAAGTGTGTGTGGCAATCATTGATGGTTTTATCCATCCACGACGATGGATGTGGCAAAAGCAGAGCTACAAATGTTTTAAATGTCATTAGAGAGCATTTTCTTCAGAAGAATTGTCCTTAAAATCATCTACAACATATGTACAGCTATCATTTAAAAGTCCTATCTCACTGCATGCAAGCTTAATACAGGAATACCCCCTGTACTGGAAAAATGACAGACAGCATCTGGGAAGCAAATTCCTCACCCTCTCTCTCTGTCCACGAGCGGAAACAGATTTCACTGATGAGTGGCTAATAAGTCAATCAGCAAACATTTTATTGTAAATTAATGAGTTCAGACGTGGGACCTCTGACAATCAGGATGATAGACTCGATCAGATTAGGGCCCATCTAGCTCAGACAGGAAATCAGGATCAAACCGCTCAGGTCACTCCATGCACTGACGTATAAAAATAGCTACATAGGAGTGAATAGCCTCAATATAACCCCACGTCATGTCGCACAAAAAGCTGTGTTTAAGTGCTTCTGCATGTGCCGCTGAGCACAGCAGCTGGCTGATATAAGCTGTAAACACTCAACGAATGCATCCAGCAACCATCTGCCTGTATTCTGGTTCTTCACACAAGGCTGAGCTTTCCCACAAACACATGGTGACAATGCTACACACACACACACACAAAGACATATGCAGGGT